TATTCAGTGTACTTTGCCTGCTTCTGGAGTTAATTAAAACAGAGGGCAGTCAATAGCAAGCTCTCCCGTTCACCGTAGGGAGGTGGCAGCAAACTGGCAGCGGGAGGGCTGATAACCACCTGCCCTCCCCACCCCTTTGGCACCACAAGCTGCCAAACCATAACCACTGTGCTCCCCCAGCAGTGCTGCCACCAAATCTCAATGAGTTTGCCTTAATTTAAGGAGACTGGTGTGGACACAGTGCTGAGGATGCATCCTGAGCTATGCTTGAGGCTGCGGTGCCTGATTTCAGAAGATCCAGGGAACCACCCAAACCAAGAGCTGTTTCCCTCTTGAGCAGCATCATACCTTTTTTTTTTTCCTGCTACAGTTGAAAGAGGCTTCTTCCAGCATCAGATGCACATGCCTGTGTAGCAAAAAACCCAGACTAAATGCAGCTCTCATCCTCTTGAAGTCAACAAGGAACTTGAGATGGGTACCAGAACTTCATCTCTGATCTGCAGGATGGGTCTGAGCCACAGGGACCTCTCCTCTGGCTCCAGCAGTGTTTGGTCCCAGAAAGCTTCTCACATCCCAACATAAATGCATGACGTCATGAAAGAGCACATTAACCCACACATAGACCCATGCCCTTCTCCTGCTCCTCTGCAGTGTTATGAAGAGCAAATTACGTACCAAGTTGCACAATCTTGACTTTACCATCTGCCTGAATACAGAAATGACAGCAGTAACTTTGATCCATACCACACTGAAACACTCAGCTCCTGATGAGTATTTTTGCCCCCAATCAGACATCAAAGTCACAGTTTCCCCTTGTGAATCAAGCTGATGATAAAAACACAGGCTTTACATATTATCCCAAAACATGAAGTACAGTCAGAATTATTTCATGCAGAAAGGAGAAATGATGATGCCATCCTGTGCTCACACAGTACTCCTGGGGATTACTCCTCCCAGTAACGGGCAGGTGTTAATTGCCATTACTGTTCCTGCACCACGTTTGCACCAAGTGGAAAAGGACCCTCACCTGGAAACAGGAGCAGGAGCATTATCACAGCACTCCACTGAGACTGGCAGGAATGTAGCTCCAACATATCGACCAGATTTTACTTTAAGAAAGTGAAAATATTACCATGGTTGAGCTGAGCGTATTTGTTATGAACAAATAATGTTGAATTCTCAGTAAGCCTGTGAAATTTTGCAGGCGGTGTGCTCTAACTGAGCATTTGCTGCCAAGAAGCTACCTCTGCACCTGAAGAAAAAAATAACGCTGCACAGCTGAGCTGGTGACATTCCTGATCACACAAAGAGACCTCACCAGAGTCTTCATCAGCTTGGTTTTGTCATTCTACTTTATCCAACATCTCCAGGCTCACATTCAGGAATTGCTTAACCTGAACTAAAACCAAGTTACGTTCTGGGACATCTAATATTTGCACATATCTAGTAGTGTGGTTAGGCTACTTGATCTGTAAAGATGTTTAATCAAGAAGGCTTGGACTAAAGTTCAAATGCTCTGCGTTAGCCAGACGTGAACGAGCGGTAATTAGAACACAGTCTGATTCATATGGGGCACTACTGGACTTTGAAATGACAGCTGCGTAACTGAAACTCTGTTGGGAAAGATTCTTTTTATTTTAGTACAACTAAAGTGAAGCTTTTTGCTACCGATGCTTCACGCTGAAGAGTAACAGAAGAGTTTTTTTTTAAAAAAGCATTTTTGGGAAAGGCAACATTTTCACCTGGTTTCAAGGCTGAGTGGTAGCAGACAATAGAAGCTTTTTTATCCTGTGGTTGTCAGAATCCGATAGCGGCCGGGCAGCTCGCTCAGAGCAGAAACTCCGACCCTTAAAAGGATGACTTGTGGCTGAGGGCCAGGAACAGAGCAGCCCTCCTTGTCTGCAGCCTCGCGGCCCCGAGGAGACATGGCAGGAGCAGTTCTTCTCATGCGAAACGTGGGTGGGAAGGCGACGGCCTCCAAATGGGAAAAGGGACTTTCCTGATGAAAAAGCCTGAGAAGCGGTAGGTCAGAACAAATCCATCTGGAATGACAGCTGAGACGTGTCACCAGAAAATTGCCTTGCCTTGGGATCATACCCATAAATTACAGAGAGTTTTATCAGAAAACGGATGGTCCTGAGAGACCTTATTTTTGAGCAGAAAGCGGTGTGATGTATCACTGTATGCATGTTGTTTACATCTTGCTCTAACACAGCTCGTGGGAGGAAGTGCTCCGCTGCCAAAAAAGACTTGATAGTTGCATTGTTCACGTGTAGCAATATTTAGACACAGCAAACCCACCGGTATTTATAATAACGCTGTCCCATTATGATATCAGTCGGAAGCTGCAGGAAAAAGAGATGGACTCTACGTCTGCTGAGCCAGAGAGGGAGATAAAGGCTCCCAGCAAATCTGATGGGAGAGGTGTTGTTTTCAGGCACAGACAGCATTTCAGTTCCTGTCCCATGCCAGAGCTCGAAGCTGTACTTGTTGTAACAGGAAACGAGAATCGCAATCTGAAGCCAGAGGCACACATCACTCAAACGGGCTCTTTGCTCTCTCTCCCCCTCTTCCTCGACGCCTGCCGCAGGACAGGGCTAGCAGCTCTGCTGCACGTCCCGCTGAATGAGCCGGGCTGGTCATTAACCCTCAAACCTGACCCAAGGCTGGGTAGGTGAGGAACCTTAATACTTGGACACGGTCCGTAACAAACCTTCTACCTGCCTCTGAGCAGTTATCTTATTTCCCATGGGAAGGACAAGAACTTAATCATAGAATCATAATCATAGAATGGTTTGGGTTGGAAGGGACCTCAAAGATCATTGAGTTCCAACCCCCCTGCCATGGGCAGGGACACCTCCCACTAGAGCAGGTTGCTCAGGGCCACATCCAGCCTGGCCTTGAACCCCTCCAGGGATGGGGCATCCACAACTTCCCTGGGCAACCTGTTCCAGTGTCTCACCACCCTCAGAGTAAAAAATTTCTTCCTGAGATCTAATCTGAATCTTTTTTCTTCCAGTTTAAAACCGTTTCCCCTTGTCCTATCATTACCCTTCCTGGCAAAGAGTCCCTCCCCAGCTCTTCTATAGGCACCCTTCAGATATTGAAAGGCTGCTATAAGGTCTCCCCGGAGCCTTCTCTTCTCCAGGCTGAACAATCCCAGCTCCCTCAGCCTGTCTTCATGGGAGAGGTGCTCCATCCCTCTGATCATCTTCGTGGCCCTCCGCTGCACCTGTTCCAGCTGGTCCATGTCCTTTCTGGGTTGAGGACTCCAAAGCTGGACACAGTATTCCAGAAACTAGAAACTTTTCAGTTTCTAGTACAAGTCAGCACCCTGACTGTATCCATCAGTGAACATCCAAAGCCATCCTTGGGGCAGCACCGGGAGGACCTGGCTGAACACCACCACCTCACTCCCAGCTCCAAACTCCACTGCTACCTGCCCTTCTCCCAGGAAAGGGAACACACAGCCCCTGAACGCTTGCTGGCTCCTAAAACAACCACAAAAATAGCTAAAAAGAGATGAAATCCAGCCTTGGCCAGCCTGGAAGCCTACAAATGCTTGCACCTTCGGGATCCCCCAGCCCCTCTTCTCTCCCGTTCATCCTGTAATCTGCTGCACCACAGGAGATGTCCACCTCTCATTTTTGGGACAAGCATATTCCTGCCCAGGGCAAGGGGTGCCCAGAGGCTTCAGAAAGTGGCAGAGAGGAAGCTGAGGGTTGACTCTGCTCAGATTTTAATCTATCTAGAACTTAAACTCTTGGCAGCAGGATGTCATTTTTATCGTTTGCAGAGTTTCTAGTACAAGAGAGTCCTCCTCCAGAAAGAGACTCACGCCGCTATCGTAACACCAGTAATAATTTCCCCCATTTAAATGACGCACAGTGGCAAAAACGTTCCATTGTGGCTGTAACAGCACCGACCCCATCTGGGCCCACAGACAGAGCCAGCAGCACAGTCTGGCAGAAATGCCTTCCAGTAAAGAGGATCAAAGAACTAACATAAACCGTGTAATTGCCATCTTGGAGCAGACTGATGGTGGAGCTGACCCCCGTCCTCTCCCCAGAGCAGAGAGCGGCATCCCGGGCTGTACAGGGAACCACAGGGCAAGGCCCTGGACAGCCACAAATCATCCAGCCCAGAAGGAAGAGTTTTCTAAACACCACTGGGTTAATGACCACCCTTAACATCGGTATCAAGAATTAATTGTAACCTCTGGAAACTGCTGCATCAGCCTTGGGAGCCTGAGAGTCATACACTTCCTGGGGTGGGGGGGAGAGGAGATCTGGGGAACCCGCACCACACTAACGTGCCTGCAAGTCTCTGCTGATTTTATGCCAAAAATCCCTGGGGTTTCCCACTCCCCAGCACAACCCGGCCCACGGGGCCCCTCTGGTGTCGTGTCCCAGCACTGCACCCCGGCCCCGCTCCCTCCACCTCCCAGGGACAGACAGACCCTCAACCCTCTGCCTCCCACCACCTGGGTTCACGCAGCACAAAAATCAGACAGCAGGTTTCCCAAAAACCTCGGCCTTTTCCAGGTATTTTGATGAAATTGTGAATTTCCCGGTTAATTTCTGTAGCAGTCTCCCACTCGCCGGGGCAGAGAAGCCCTGAGCAAACCCTGCAGGGGGCTGTACCAGCTGCATCGCCCCAGCACGCTTGAAATAACCTGCAGCCCACCATCTATTTCCACGTATTGAGACATACAGAAAATTAGTGAGGAGAACAGTCAGCCGAGACTGTGGTATCTTTACCAGGAAGTATTAATAAAATACCTTAAAAGGGCTTTGTTTTCTTCATTGCTACAGTCATTTCTGTCTGATCTGGTACCAAATATTACCCGCTGACCTGCGCCTCCGCTCTTTCACACCTCACCACGCTGCACGGGACCCTGCTTTCTGAACCTTTTTTGAAGTTTTCCAAAGCACAGCATTTCTGGAAGATCTTCCAAGGTAAGAGAAAAAAAAAAAAAAAGTCAATTAACAGGCAAACTCTCAAGAAAGTATGTATTTTATTCAAATAAAACGTTTTCTTAACCTTTGATTTTTATGCAAGGGGTACACATAAAAGGAAGTAGGCTCCACTTCAGGAGGACGCTGTGTCAGTCTGTCTGTCCCCAGGGCAGAGAGGAGCGGCGGCGCGGGGCCCCCGTGAAGCTCAGATGGCTGCCATCCTTCAGTTATCACAGTACTGTACCTTTACAAGAGACAGCATCAGCACTGTGATAACTGAGCCAGGGCAGCCTGTCAGTCATTGCGGACCCCCCCGCAACACTGCCCAGCCCAGCAGGCGGCCTCTTCCAGCTCTGCATCCCGTATGTCTGCTCAAAAACCCCACATCGCCCCAAACAAGATGCCCAGATGCCAGGGGAGGGGCTCAGGAGCATTTCACAGGCTTTGCACCTGAAGTTTCAGTCCACATAAATCATCCAGATAATTTGTGCTACCTTAATGACCGCAGTGGCTTCCGCAGTGCAGCTCGAAAGTGTTTTTAAGTAGCAGCTTCTTCTGGCCAAATCCACCAATGCTGGACTTAATGGAAAAAGGGGTAAGTAACCACGCTACAGATATCACTAGAGAGAACAGGGGTATCCCTCGCTCCCCCTTAAATTCACCGGAGCTAGAAAGAAGCATTTGGTTTAGGCCACGTTAAGTATTGAATGTCATGAACCAGACAGTCAGCGGATACGATGGCGGGGAGCCAGGTGAGTTACTGGAGCTCCACGGCTTGCGACAGCTGAGGAGCGGGGCTGGTTAACAGCGAGACTCCGAGGGTAGCACTACACCGTGACCATGCCACGCACCCCACGGAGCCCGCCAGGCCTTCACCAGCCGAGCGGGCTGCTGGGCACTGGAATTTTACAGCACGGCGAGCGCTTTCAGGTGGGCTTAATGGGAGTAAAGGCATCGCAGACACCCGGTCCTACACCCACCGACGGCTTCAAGGGACACCAGGCAGCTGCCTTTGCAAGCACAAGAGCGGCCTGAAGGCCTGAGGTGCTTCAGAGTACCCAGCTGGCATTTTTAGGCCATAGGATCCACATACAAAATTGTGAAATAAACAATTCTGCAGCAAACTAGTTAAATTATAAGCTTACACCAACATATACTTTACCCTTTTTTTTTTTTTTCGCTAAAAACAGGCACATGAAACTGTTCCTACACCCCTCCCCGTCCTTTGGATACGGCAATCAAATACATAAAGTTCTGAAACAAGTTTAAAACAAACTCAACGGTTCTACGTAGTAAAAGCTAAAGTGTTATTAACTTTTTATAGAAAGTTAATTTATGATGTTGATGGACTTCACCAGTACAAATCGCTCCCACATTTCTACCAGGAGGGAGCAGAAACTCCCAACACGGTGTTAACGCTCGAAATAACTTACCAGGAAAAGAGCGTGTTCTGAGATGTTATGGAGACTGTTTTTAAAAAGAGAAATACGTAACACTCCGCTGGATCCAGCTACCCAAATGGTGTCTTAACAAGTTTTTAACTCAAGAGGGCAATGGAGAGACAAATATGAAGTATCTGAGGAGAAGCACGCAGTGGAAAAAAAATATTTGTACATTTTAAAACAAACTACAAACATACATTACATAAAAAGGGGACAGTCAACAGATTATGCAATACTGACGTAAGACAACACAGATGACTTAAACATATATGCCAAAACTCGCAGATTTACCACCATTTGTAGATTAATCATTAAAGAATCCGCTGTTGCTGGGAAAAAAAACAACAATAAAGTTGGTAAAAAAAATACGAAGAAATTCTGTACATACAATGGTGACTTTTGAAAAGGAAGGAAGCTGTGTAACTAATGAACCATTCGCTCCCACTTTGAGGTGTTTTTACACCACCATTACTACTCTAGTTGAAAAATCCTACCGATTCCAGTAGAACAGCATAAACGCAGGATGGGGAATCCTACATTTCGCAGGCTGAAGCGATGAGAGAAGAGTAGCTATTTTATAGCTCGAGTATACCTTGACCACTGTTTCAAAATATTATTCTGTGCTCCAGCAGTTAATATCACACTGTTTAAAGGGAGAAGATGCTTGACAGCAAAGGTGAACATTCCCCCCCGCCAAAACACCCCTGGCACAGACTGATTTAGGTACACCCAATTTCTAGGGACTGATGCCATTTTCTCTAGAGAGGATCTAGCTCTGACTCCAACGCTAACACGGTTTGTTTCCTTGCATCCAACACACACGCACTGATTTTTGTTTTGCTTCTGTCAGATTGAAGATACACAGACCTGATATAAAAAGCCTAGGTGGGTTCCCCATTATTAGCTGAAGAACAGCAGTACAGCAAAAACCACATTAGTTTTGGAGCCTAGGGCATATTTTTGTTACTGCTAAGACACTGCTTATTTCCATACGCTTTTTAAAAAAAAGTCTAGTTTCCAATGTTTGCTGCCAGTTCTCGCTTTTGAAAGCCTTGCAAGTTTGTCTGGCTGGTTTTTAAACTCCAGTTCCGCCTCCTGCCCCTTTGGGGCTGGCGATTCTAAGTATTTTATTTTACTTGTTTTATATGAGCCGAAATTCCTTTAGCATCACACTGACGGAATTACTGATGTGCCCTGACCACAGCCTGCGAGGCTTGTGACTCCACACACAGGACGTAGGATGGTTTGGGCTGGAAGGGATCTTAAAAATCACGCACTTCCAACCACAGCCATGGGCAGGGACACCTCCCACCAGCCCAGGTTGCTCCAAGCCCCCTCCAACCTGGCCTTGAACCCCTCCAGGGATGGGGCAGCCACAGCTTCTCTGGGCAACCTGGACCAGCGTGAAAGATCTTGAAGCACAACAAGCCACTCTCACCCCCGCCTCCATGGAAGCCTGTGAGGCGCGCAGGTGGCAACCCCCAACTTCCATCTTGAGTAGCGCCCTTTCAACCAAAATCTGTAGAAGAGGGGAGGGAAAAACAAACACAAAAACAAACAAAAAAAAGAAAATAAACAGCAAGTTATGAGGATACAGCGGTCTGACGGGGCGATTTAGGCGGTTTTGACGGCGGGGGCTGTGTTGGAGGAGGGTGGCTGGCAGGTCCCCGGGTCACCCCAGCTTCTCCCTCCCAACTTTCCCCTCAAGCCGCCGCTTCCCGAGACCCAAAACCACCCCCGGCCCGAAACCGCCCACCGCCACATTCTCCTCAGGCGGGCGACGGGATGAGGGGAAGCCGGAGACCCCGTTTTAACCCACCACCACCGCTACCACCGCCTCACTCACCGGTCCGGAGCGCTGGGAGCCACCTGAGGAAGGGGCGGCGGCGGCGGCACCGCGGCCTCCACAGGCCCCGCCCGCCTCAACGCGGCCGCACGGAAAATAATGGTGCGCAACGGGGGAGCGCGGGGCCGAGGTCGCCGCCGTCCCGT